CCATAAGCCGTGGGGTCCCTTGCATCTCTCTGGAGTAGTTAATTCGTTTTCCACTTTTCCATTTCACTATTACTTACGCATACCCTAAGGACATCCTTTAGCCTAGTCTTAAGCCTTTCGGTTGGGTCACTTAATAAATGTCTATATGTGTCACTATCATTTAAATATACTAGCATCTTTTCTAGATAACTTGGTTTATCCATGACTACCACTGCTCCTTTTTTGTCGGCTTTCGTTACGATTAGATTCTTATTACACAGATATCTAGGCATCCTACTAATATGACAATCTTTCTTAGGTGGTATTATATGGTCAACATGAGGGATCACATCCAGTTTAAGACTATTCCTTACCTCTTCAGGTAATCTATCAGATAAGCTAATTAATTCAACAAGCATTTCCAGAAAATGGTTTACCTCATTTGGAAGGGCAAAATTCTGTCCTCTTTTCAATAAAAGTACTACACTATCCTCTAGAGTTGTACTAGATAAATTGATTACTTTATCCTTCCCCACTTTGTTAGAAACATGGTTAGTAAGATTTTTCCCAGGTGTAAAGTTTCTCGACCTTATTCTAATTCCTAAATTCCGGATCTTCTTATCATGTATCCGACGAGTAGTTCTGTCGATCGCCTCTCCTAACTCGTCAGCCATATCTTGTAACTTAATGGAATCCACATCATTCAATATTTCTGAGAGAGATTGTCTAAGCTTAGTTTTGGTTCTAATTAGTTCGTTCAGATTGGTAATGCTTTCGTTGAGCCTAGTTTTAACTAAACCATATGATCCTTGATCTAGTTCTCTACTTGTGAATGTCGGTAGATTATAACGTCTACCGAGTAAAAAACACCTAGGAACAACATTATGAGAAATATAAATTTTGAAAAATATAATTCTTTTAACTTGTCGGGATAAAATTTTTTTGGTTGTAGTGTAGCGGGAAGACAAATGACAAGAAATCGAACCGTACGTACATTGTAGATACGATGAGAAACTTGTTCTCAATGAATCTCCTGAAAGTGCATGAAGTAGAGATTCTTTGGTCGATCTCACCAGATGAGGACGGATGAATCTTGTTGTACTGCAGCCGTTTGGATTTTATACGATATTCATGTTGATGCAGTCCATGGGACTTCCTCCTTATTTGAGAAACAACAAGTGGACGTTGTATTGTTTACCATTTCGTCAATTTGTCTGTATTGATGTCGTGAGCTTAAAGCAAGTGTTAAAATATCATTGTATTTTTCTTCGAGACTACAAGTAACTCAGTAATATAAGATATATTACTCTATTTCGTTTAAGGTGATGAAGGACTAATAGCTGATTTTCTCACAATGATATGAATAGAGCTGACGTTTCCACCTAATTTCACATAACCTTTCTTTCATAAAAAGTATTATTACCCAGAGTGGACGCAGTTTCGACCTTGCCTAGGCCTTATCAACTCCCACAACGAAAGTCGAACCATGATAGTGCAGCGTGTAACCTCGAAACGTTAACCACTATGGCACATTGCCACTAATTCACTTGCTGATGAGCCCTAATCGAGGTCGAAACTGCAGCGCCCTGGATAAGAATACCATTTTGGAAACCAAAGTCATGTTAAATCCAATGGAAACGTAAGGTCTACTCATATAAATGTGAACGAACTCAACTAGCCTTATCACCTTAGACGAAATAGTGTGAATTCATCTCATTTAGAGTAACAACTTATCAATGACAAATGAAGACAATCCCTTTGACTACTTTTATGTTTAACCTTTGTGGCACCACTATTTACCCCTATTTTGTGTCAGCATCTCATGTTACATCTTCTCTCAACTCCACTTCATATACCCATTTGCTTATTCACACCATATTAAATTGCGAAGACAAGGTCAAACCAACATTGCATGGCTACAGGCCACGCTATCTTGTTCTTCATATCTACGGTCTGATAGCATTTATTGTTTCTTCATCCTATATATGCTGTTTCACTAGGAATGCCGCACTTCCAAAAACCAGCTAGTATTCAGTACCAAGAAGAGTCACAACACCACCCAATTGGGCAGCATTTACCAGCTTTTCTCGCTGCTTGCGGCACTATCAGCGAAGCTAGTTCCGGCCCTTCGTCATCCGATGCTCCTGTCAAAGATGCTGCTATCGCTCTGCGCACTCCAGGGCCTTTTATCGAAGGCCAATCAACCCAGCAATCAGCGATTACACAAATTTCAGAGGTTTTACGCCCCCCACCAACGCGTCTCGCGATGGTCACCAGTCCTGCTGGCCGTTTGTTTGCTTGGCGTCGACAGCGAGGCGTCCCATCGGTGGCACAAAGGTCTACTGGGGACGCGATGGGTGCGAATTTGACTCCATCTATTGGAGTTTCTCGACGCCCAGTTATTCAGCATCAGTTGGCAATTGGAAATCAACTCTATCAGAATCGCCAGGATGCATCCTCCCGGAGCAAGAGGACCAGTGGCCTCAGACGTTCTAGTGCTGCCGTAACAGCGCAGACAAATGCTACTGGTGCCCCGCGAAGGGCTGCTTATCTCTGTCGGTAAGTTAGTTCATTTTCCTTACCGTATATTTCTCGTCATCACTCCCTGTGCGATTTGAGCCTTGGAATGTGGATTTAGAAGCAAATACGTGGCATCCTTGTACACATGAACCTGTGGCCCTCGAATTTTATAGAAAATATTATTCTCAATGCATGTCTCTAAATCCCACATTTGCAGTTATGACATCTTGCCCCTTAGTTTGATATTTTACTCTTTTTTATGTACTAATTATACCTTATTGCTATTTTCAAAATGATTTTTTAACCTTTGACTAATAAAACTCGCTTCAGTTCATAGTGCAGATATTTATTCTTATCAGCGGTCGGCCTTTTTCATAAAAAAGCATTTTCTGTGTTATATTTTATACATAATATTGACTATA